CCCTCATATGTGGGATCCGAACCAGGGCCCTCTGGCGTCGCAAGCCAGTTCTTAACCATCGCGCCCTTCGGCCGGCCCCCTGCTTTTTTTTTTTAAACTGAGTGTGTGGTGGTGAAGAATACAGTGGTTTGGTACTGCTGCCCTGTTTCATGTTTATAAGATACTAGAACCTTTCCTGACCATTGCTTCTGCATGATCAGTGCAAATAGTATTGTTAGGAAAATAGTTTTCATCTCACAACCCCCTGAAAGTGTGTCAGGAACCACTAGGGGTCTGCCTACCACACTTAGGTGACCTAGTAATGCAGCACCATGTTCCCTGTTCTTTCTCTTATGAAATCCACCTTTTACAGAGCAATATATTTTCCTCCCCGCCCCTTGTGCATATTGAGTTACAGTCCAAAAGACTGTATTTTCTCTCACCTCTTGCTTTAAACTGTTGCTTTTTTCTCTGCCTAGAATCTTTGCGCCCCTGTCACATTTTCTTCAAATCTTGTTTTACTTTCACGTGCCTGCTTCAGTTTCTTTTCTTCCATGGTTTCTACTCTCAGGTGCAAGTGATCTTTGCCTCTCTTATCTCTCTCCATAACACTTGTTCACATCTCCCTCATGGCACATACAGCTTATTTTAGAGGTTTGAGTTTTGTTGATGTTGCTTTTTTGTGGAATGAGGAGTCATTTACTAATAACAGATGATGGTCTTGTTCATCTCACAGTACGTCGTTAACAGTGCTTGAACTTAGTGAATTATTGCAGGATGAGTGAAATCATTATTCTGCAAACATTTGGTTGCTTCTATACACCAAGCATTGCTCTGAGCACTGGGAATGCAGCTGTGAGCAAGTTTGCTGTGTTCCTACTCTCGTGGCACTTACTTTCTCTTGAACTCACTAATTCTGCCTTTGTAGAGCTTACGGTGACAGTGTGAGTAAGTTCAGTGATTTCTGGTGCCTTTGGGATTTGGTTAGGCTAGAAAAGCATAGCTGTTATCCATCATCCATTGTCCTAACTGATCAGTTAATTTGGTGAGAGAATTGCAAAAATTAGGAGAAACTGTAAAGCTGCAAGAAGACAGAATTTATAGTCTTATTTTTTTTTATCCAAGTATTACGGTGTGTGCCATGGTCCATTTCTTTTTTGTCAGGGTTGCATCTGGTTATAGTAGTTACTAAATGAAGGAGAGAGGAGCCTTGAGGATGGAATGTCTCAAGATTCTGTGAAAATGTTTTCTACATACAGCTTCTGTCATTTTTATGTTGATGTGGCTCGTGTGACTCTAGCAAAGATGTATTAGTCTATATATGAGAAGGGTTTTATTTTAAAGATCGGGGCTTTTCATTCTCTTTTTTTTTGTCTTTTAGGCATTAACAAAGGATCCCCAGGATTATCCTGACAAAAAAAGCCTGCCTCACGTACATGTTGCCCTCTGGATAAATTCTCAAGGAGGTAGGAAGGTGAAAGCTGGAGATACCGTATCGTATGTCATCTGTCAGGTAAAACTGTCATAATTAATTAACAAGACTCTCATACTACTTAAGAGTTCATAGTCAAATCCAGATCCCCACAGTGTCTTATTTAGTAGTCTTCCAAATAATTGATGCTGTCAAGAGATGGTTTAGTGTGGTTGGTTTTATAGCAGGAAAACATTAGTCAGGAGTATGGCATATTTTATAAAAATTTCCGTAAACCATTAAAGACCAGTGTTTCGGGTCATTGAAATTATTTTGGTGAGACAGGTGTATAACAGTTAACTACTGTTCCTACCCTAAATTAGCTTTAATGATAATGTATATAAGTTTGGCCATATGGTTAGCAGTAGTCCTTTATCATTCCTTTTGCAACAGTTTCCATTATGGATATTGGTAGAATAGGAGAGTAAATGCGTTTTTCCCTAGCCTGTGTTCAAATACAGTAATACCTTGGTTTGCGAGCGTAATTCGTTCCAGAAACAAACTACTCGTATTGCAAGACATCACTCGTTTACCATGTTAAAATGTGTTAGAAACGTTTGCTCGTCTTGTGGAATACTTGCAGACCACGTTACTCGCAATCCAAGGTTTTACTGTAGTTACTTGAAAAAAAATAGGAAATGCGTGATACGTGGAGAAAGGTGAGAGATCCTAAAAACCATGTCTTACGAAGAAAACACAATGTACCAGTTTCATTTCTTTTTCTTTTGAGTGGAAGGGGCCAGAACCCCCCTCTTTACCTTCTCCCTGTCTCACAGCGCACCTCTAAGGAGCCTCACGGCCTTCTAGAACACAGTAACTCGCTTCTTTGGAGAGCAGCATGCCTCTAACAGGAATGGGGAGAAGGGGTAGGACAGAAGAGCATTTTTTTCTTTTGAAAACACAACTCCAGTTGGAACAATGGAGAGGTCTCGTTTCTTCTCTCTATTAAAAAGAAAAATAAGTCCGTCCATAGCTTTTATCCAAATTCCTTAAAATTACTATGGTGTGGTCTGTCTACCAAAAGGCATAATTCATCTGAATAAGACTTCCTTTTTAATTAATTAATTATTGCATTGTGTTATTACAGTAAACATTTTTAGATAAGCCCTAAGCTTCACTGCAGTATGATTGACCTTCATTGAACTACAATCAATGTGTTTTTAAATCAGAGTCTTTTCAAAATTTAAAAGTTGTTTGCTAATATCTGCTCGGTACTGTAGATGAAGTCCATAACAAATGATGTAAGTACCTGGACAGGAATGAGCACTTGACTCTGTCTCCCTCCTAGGGTTACTCTTGATTAAGAACTGTTACAGAAAGCCAATTCCTGCAAAACAATATTTCCACAAATGTCTGACTCGCTCAAGCCCTTAATGTGCTTTGCATATTGCCTCTGACAAGTCTCACCTCAAAAAAATGATTTTCCTATTATGCAAATAAAGACTTTGGTAAATAGGCTAGTTTTTTTTCCACTTATGTCTTCACACACGTGGAAAAACTCTTAGATTATTAATGACAGGAGCAGATGGCAGCATACAAATTTTAAAATGTATGTATGGGTTCTGTGAAATAGCATCTAATAATGGAATCCAGCCAGAGGTATATTTTGGCTAAAACCTGGGATGGAGATGTATGGTAGTATGACCGATGTATTTAAAAGTCAAGCTTGTGTTCCTTGAGGACTAAATAGTAGGTCTTATGATTTCTTCTTCGCAGGTCTTAATGGTACAGAAAAGCTTAAATGCTAATGTTAACATAGTACAATAAATCCAGTTTGACGTCTTTTCAACATTTCCCCCATCCACTGGTACTGGACCTTAACTTACTTGCTTGTTAAAACTGCAGTTTATGTTTCTTCCTATTTATTTATTCTTCTTACTGTATCCAAAGAAGAGCAATAGGACTTTAATTTGCCTTTTCCCCCTAACAGTGGGACACACCTACTTTCACGAAAACTGCCTACCTCTTTTGCTTTTAAGCACTCAAATTATTCTTTCTGTGCTTCATAACACAACCATATTTTTTGAAAATGTATGATTAGACATTTTAAGAGAACTGCTTATTGCTCTAAGCAGAGGCGCCCTCCAAGAATAGCCTATCTCCTGAACAGGTTCTATTTTGTTTAAAATTTACATTGAGAATATAGTATTCTACGGATAATGTATTCAGATTATAAATTCAGTTGAGTTTAGGGTAATATTTTTGGTACCTAATTTATATTATAGTTCATGGTCTTGTAAAACCTACATGAATTATTTGCTGAGCTCTGAAATCAACTTCTTGTTGGTTAAGTTTTAAATTCTTAATTATTTAACTTTCAGTGGACATAATGTCCATAAGTCATGCCTATAACATTTGAAGGGACCCATTTGTCACCTGTTTAAAAATTTTTTTCCATTAGTTTCCTACTAAAGATGACTACATAGTTTTGAATTAATTGACTGCACCTGGTTGTCTGTGCAAAGTATGCGCTTTGAAGTTCACAAATTACTACATGGGCACTTCAAGGAAGACCAACATTGCTCCTTAATCTGTTTTTAAAGGTGTATGCTACACATTGCTGCATACACCATGGGGTCTTGCTAGGTTTGGGAATTAGGTCTTTGAGGGGTAGATCTTATGTCACAGCCTAAATGTTTTTCCAATACAATGCAGCAAAACCTGTCATCTTATCAATTCTTTTGAATTTAGTCATGTTTAAGCTCAGATTTTTTAAATACAATAAGAAATGTGTTTGGGTTACTGTTAAAACTAGTCTTTTGTGCGGATATTTAAAGTAAAATCTTTTTCAGTTGAGAATATGTGCAGAAATTGTCAACTGCTTTTTTTTTTAAGATTTTTATTGGGGAATTGGGGAATGGGAACAGTGCTGGGGAATTGGGGGAAGGGGAACAGACAAGTTGCTGTCGTTTTGTTCTTCAATCTAGTTGTGGAGGACGTTGCTTCACTGGCCCAAGTTGGCACCATCATTGCGCTCTTCTCTGGCGAGGCAGATCAGTCGCCGGCTTCTGGACGGCCGCTCACTGCGGCTGCTGGCCGCTCACGCTGGCTGCTGGCTACACACGGTAGCCCATGGCAACCCACTGCCACAGGGAGTGCAGCCTACGCCGTCGCCGGCGACTCATGGCAGCCCAGCTCCAGGTTGAGCTGTCATTCAGCATCTTAGCTGTAGAGGGCAGTGTCACTGGCCCTCATATGTGGGATCCGAACCAGGGCCCTCTGGCATCCCAAGCGAGTTCTTAACCATCGCGCCACTCGGCCGGCCCTCAACTGCTTTTTTACAAACATACTTTCCTATGAGAACATCTTCTAATGATATATTGGAAAGTAACTCAAGTGCTTTAAAAAAAATTTGCTTCTACAAATCTGATTTTTATTCACCATTAAAATTTAGTAAACTCAATATTGCTACAATATTAAGGACAGCCCAATTTTAAAAAAACTCTAATTCGGGCCGGCCGAGTGGCGCGATGGTTAAGAACTGGCTTGGGATGCCAGAGGGCCCCGGTTCGGATCCCACATATGAGGGCCAGTGACACTGCCCTCCACAGCTAAGATGCTGAACAACAGCTCAACCTGGAGCTGGGCTGCCATGAGTCGCCGGCGATGGCGTAGGCTGTAGCCCCTGCTGTAGTGGGTTGCCATGGGCTACCGTGTGTAGCCAGCAGCCAGCGTGAGCGGCCAGCAGCCGCAGTGAGCCGCCATCCAGAAGCCGGCGACGGATCTGCCTCACCCGGGAACAGCGCAATGATGGTACCAACTTGGGCCAGTGAAGCAACGTCCTCCACAACTAGACTGAAGAACAAAACGACAGCAACTTGTCTGTTCCCCTTGCCCCAATTCCCCAGCACTGCTCCCATCCCCCCAATTCCCCTATAAAAATCTTCAAAAAAAACCCCAAAAACTCTAATTCTATAAATTAATCAGATTTTACGTGTTTGTTAAAAGCCAGTCTGAATGCAACTGTGGTGCATAAAGACACTGCCCAAGGATGTTTCACACTCTTTTTCTCATTGGCTATCACTGTACTCTCATCTAACAATTCAAACTTCTAAAAGGGAAATAATTAAAGGTGATTAATTCTGCCTAATTTTTTTTTACTGTTGTAAACGCCTGAAAAATAATTATAAGCAATTCTTTTAATCTGTGCTTTACTTCCTTTCTTGGTTCTTTGTTGTATCTTATTGTAGAATAGGTAGAGCCTAGTTGATAAACGTCCCAGTTTTTTTCCATTTGGTGCCTAGCCAGAGGAGGAGGCCCCTCCTCCAGTCGCTGGTAAAGAGCCCTGTGGAAGGTTGCTTCTGCCTTGGGCTGGGGCCCTGAGCTGAGAAGGGACTGATTGTAGCAGGAATGAAAGAATAGGACTCACTGTATAATCAGTTTTGCAGAGCAGCTGAGCACTGTGAGTAGTTATAATTTTACTAGCTCAATGTTAAATTCTGTTGTTGCAGACGAGAGGAAGAGTGGAGTGAATTGGATATTGGTCCAGTAGAGTGATGCCTTTTTGAATCACAGATGATGGTGACATCACTCACAGGGCTGTATATGGGCCAATGATAAGGAATGTCACAACTTTTGTATAGAGTTAAGTGGAAGCCCTTGAAAGGCTCTCTGACCTGTCTTCCTCGCCTTGAGGAAGAGCCACGTAAACAGCACAAAGTGACATGCCTTTCATTCCGGTGGCCAAATATTTTGTTTCTAGGGCACTGCCAGTCCACCAGATCTCATTAATTTTACTCTTACCTATTCTATCTTGTACATAAGTGATGACTCTGGGTTTCATTCCCCTGTCTTTTCCCCTTGCTCTGTTGCTTTTCAATGATACATAGAGCTCTCAAGGGAAGCATTACCCCTGAGTCCTTAGGATGATACTATGACTATAATGCCTGCATGAAGGCATGCATTAACATAATAAAAGGACCACACATGTTTCTTGTTATCACTCTGAAAAGGCCCTTGTGACTAGACTAATGGTTAGCAAGTCCTTTCAATGTGTTTCTGTGATGTGGCAGGTGGAATTATTTAATCAAGTTATGCCATCTTGTTGGTTTCATGTTTCAACAAAAAATAGAACACAGCACATGCTGCTGGATTTACATTCTTGGACAGTGGGCGAGATGTTCTCCTTCATCTTCCTACTCTTAGATGCGCATGAAATTTTCACCAATAGGTCAAAAGGACTTCTTGGTGTTTGGAATTAAATACACAAAATTTGAATTGTTGTCCTTCTTTTTGACCAAGCAGAGGTGTGTGTGTGTTTGTGTGTATGTGTGTGTGTGTTTGTTTGAATTTCTCACACCTGTACCTGTACCATGTCCTCTTGCAGGATGGGTCAAATCACAGCGCAAGTCAGAGGGCCTATGCACCTGAGCAGCTGCAGAAACAGGACAATTTAACCATTGATACCCAGTACTACCTGGCCCAGCAGATCCACCCAGTCGTGGCTCGGATCTGTGAGCCCATAGATGGAATTGATGCTGTCCTCATTGCAATGTGGTTAGGTAAGTCCCTGAGCTCATGTAGCCACTCATGTGGGGACAGCCACGCGCACTGTCCCTCCTTTGACTGTTGTCGGTCCTTCTGTAGGCATGGCGCTGTGTCGAGCCAGCACTTCTTGGTTTGTAGTTGGGCATTTATCTTTGTGGTGGTTTGGTGACCAATGTCTGTCTCCCCTCACATGGACTGTGAAACCCGCATACTTGGTTACCTCTGTAACCACATGCTTGCTCCATAGTTGGTACTCAGTAAATGCTGAGGGGAGGGAGAGGAGGTAAAAGAAAGGATGGAGAGGATTTTCTGCACCATTATAAGTCTCTGAGTTTATGTTGTTGTAGTTTTAATTAGTGAAGTGCCATTAATAAGGAGATTGACGGTATCTTGATTATTGGCTCATTTTCTCTTTGTCTCTAAAGGTATTGTCATGTAAAGCGAGAAAACACCCATTTTTTAACATTGAAAATTTAAGTTTTAGTATTCAATTCCCTGTGAGTAGCCTATTCTCACTTGCATTTAAATTCTTCTGAAATCGGACTCACTGTTATCTTCTAGGAATTGGCTGATTCCTAACATCCTAGGAGGTGCCAACCAACCTGAAACCTCAGTGTTTCTTTCACTTTTTGCTGTGTCACCAGATTGTCATCTCTTGCTTAGAAATATATTTCATATCCTGTCATGATTTCATTTCTAGACGACCAGCATGTAAAGTTATATTGCCTTAAGCTGTCCACTCTCTATTCCGTTGTACGCACACATGAATATTTTTAGAGTACTGTCTAATGAAGTCCTTAGGTGGCTCCTCACTATATGTCAAGTTCAGAGACATCTTTGGAAGTTATAGACTCTAACTTTCTAGCTCCAACCTGTGTTTCTAGCCTTATTTCTTAATCAGTATATTCAGGGTCCCTGCTTCATAGAAAATTCTCCCCCCTCTTCTCATGGAAACATCTGGCTTACGATGTGGGCTTCTGCATCCTAGGGCCTTAGGTTCAAATGTTGGTTGTGGCTCTGTGGCTTTGGTAAGCCTCTACACCTTGGCCTAAGCCTTGGTTTCTGGTGTCATGAACTAGAGTTGCTCTGAGGGAGAGATAAGATGATGTACATGAGACACTCCACACTGTCTGGGAGCAGAGGGCGTGGTCAGTGAGTGACGTTAGCCACATCCCCCCCTCTTGCCAGGCTCCTACATAAGTATGCCCACACTCCCCCAGTCCATGAGATTTGCACATAGTTTGTGCTCAGTGCACGTCTGTGGACTGAGATTGGATGGATGAATCATCAAGTCACATATTTGCCATCCTGCCCCTGCTGAGTATGTGTCTGAGCTCCTCCTGCCAGCCCCATTTCCACTATCCCATCAGTGTCTGTTCTGGAAGTGGAAGCTCATTTTTGACATTTGCCTAAGCAAAACATAATTAGGAAGATAAAATTCTGCTACCCAAATCATCATATAATGTATTCTCAAAGTTGAGTTGTATTTGATGATATTTATAAATCCTCAGCTGGGAGGTGGGAGGGTAAGTGCACAACATTTTTTAGCTCCCTTCTTTTTTTCCTCTCCTCTGCGTTGAATGCTTACTCTACTGGATGCTGTGATAAGTACTTCGCTTATGTTTCTCATTTAATCCTTGCAACAGCCTCATGAGGGTACGTTGTATTAATTTCACTTTACAGAGAAGGGAGCCGAGACTTAGAGGAGTAAGTTACTTGGTCTTGTCACATAGCTAGTAAGTGGCTGGCTGTGACTGGATAGGGACCTAGCTCTGCGTGACTCCAAAACTTAACCGCTGTGCTAACCTGTACTGCCCTTCTTAGCTCTGAGAGGTGGTGACACATGTCCTCAGCCAGGAGTGGGGTGGCGTGGATGTGAAGGCACAGGAGCTTCGTCCTCCCCTTCTGTCCCCACTGGGAGCCCCACTCCTCCCCACTGAAAAGCCCTGAGCAAAATGATTTCTTTGTTTAGGTTAGACTCCCAGTTTTTCCATTTGTATCATCAAATGGTCGTGAATTTGCAGTACTGAGGAGGGGTAAATGGAACAGGCCCCGCCCCATGGGTGACATTACAAGCCAAGCGTGGAGCCTTGTGTTTCAGCCAAAGAGCGATGGAGTAAAGGGTGCCCAGCAGATAGCCTGATGCCCGCTCAGAACGCTCAAGACACGCATACCAAGAGGGAACCACACTGATTTTGTTGGTTCCAGGGTCATATTTAAGATAATTTTTCAAATTATACATTAAGTAGTGGGAAGATTTTGACTTGCTTAAAGACAGACTACCCTAACTGCAGCAGCCTTATAGGCCGCCTTACAAATCCAGTTTTCACAGGTAATTTTCCAAGCCTGTAGCCCTGGTGGGTCCCGTCTTCAGAGGGTTCCTGTTATCACGGACCGATCTCAGTCTACAGAGGGAACCCACTGTGCTTGTGCACGGTCCCACCATGTCTCTACCTCACCTACCTCATCACCTGAAAGCTCTAGGTGCCGCCCTGGCAATACGGAGACTGTTCTGGGCAGCTCCTTCTCAGTGCCAGGTAGCCGATTAGAGCTACCAGAAGAGCCTGTGTCCTCGGCCCTGAAGGAGCTGCTGCTGCTCCCCCTTTTTATCTCTTTTTTTTCTCATTTTTATCCTTTGCCACTTGAAGGCAGTTTTTATACTGAGGGCATGTGAGGTGGTTGTCATTGTGCAGTCCGCCCTCCTCCCCTGCTCGTCCTCTTCTCCCACTGCAGCCCTTGCCGTCCACATATCGGTCTCCATTAGTAGTGAATCTCGTAGTCCCCCCCCCTCATAGGAGGTCCCACATTAATGAAGTGTGGGACAGTAAGAGCTGGTCACCATGAAGACCTGGAGAAAACACTGAGGTTTACCAGGCAGGCCTTTGCAGGCGTCTGTCCCCTGCCCTACTCAGTAGCTACACTTTGATCTGCATCCTTTATTCCTCCAGCCCAAGTGAAAAATTAGGGTGGCTGTTCTTCACTAGGGGATTTGAGGGCCCTGCTATCATTTCTCACTTATCCTGTGGCTTTAGAGAGGAGGAGGGAGGAGATGGGGAAGTGGTGGGAAAGTAAGGGGAGTGTTAGGGGGTGCGTGGTTTCTAAGAGGTGCAAGCTGTAGGCATAAAATTACTGTAATTTGTTTTTAAAATTCTAAATCTGTTTTCTTTATATAAAAAAACTGCAGTTAGTGAACTGACACTGTTAAATAAGTTGAAGTGTACAAATGTATACATAAAATACAAGCCCTCCAACTGCCTAATCACAGACATAAAATAATTCTCTTGCTTTTAATGTAGTTTTTATCTTTGATTAATGAAATGTATTATAGTGTTGAAACTTTAGTGAAGTTTGATACTTTGTCCTTTGAGTGAGTACAAAGAAATCAGGAATAATGGCATAATTTCATTTAGGAAAATTATTAAGTTCATGATTTTTTATATTTAAGACTCTTTTGTGGAGAGCAACTATATTTTTCAACTACCTTTTTCTTTTTCTATTGCTTTTATACTGCTTTCCTTGAAATGAAAGGCAAGCATCAAGTGTTGGTTTTTATCCTGTGGCTTCACTTTGAAATTTTTCTATTTCTCCCCATCAAGATACCTCCTGAAGTCTGTCTGGTGGCATGTTGCATGGCCTGGTGTTCTGTATGGGAAGGCCATTTCAGTGAAAAGGAGAGAGGATAGTCTATTAAATGAGTGAATGAATAAGTCTGTTGAATTGAAAGAGAATGATTTGTTCTCTCTAATAACTAATGGCCCTCATTATCCCACAGTAAAATGTGTATCATTTTTCTGAAACCCATGCAAGATTATTGCTATTGGGCTTATATAAAGCAAAATTTTACTCTTTTCCATCTGTGAATAGAAAAAAATATAGTATTACTCTTCTATACAATAGCCCTATGGGAAACATGGCCACTGAAACTTGGAACTCTTAGCTTTTGTTCTGCAGACTATAGGTTTTTCTCTCTCTTGTTCTAATGAAAGCTCCCTGTATTCTGTGGATGAAATATTCACAGTGTGCACCAACATCCAAATAGGCTTCTGTACCTAGCAAAACAAGCCAGCGATGAGAATAGTCTAAAGTTCATTCTTGAATTTCATCCTTTAATAAATTTGTTTCAAGTATAGCAATACTTAGAACTATATAATATCTTTCCTCCAATGAGTGATGATCTGTATAATAGCTGTCAAATACATTTCTTCATGGTCAGTGATAACAGTTTCAGGCATTTACACACCCGGGCAGTTTTCTCATTGGTCCTGAAAACTTATTGATGGTGGAAGAATGTGAGAATTGAAAATTTAATTTCTGAAAGTAGTGCTTAAAACAAGACAGGGCACATTTAACCTAGTGCTTTCTTGGGTTAAATTAGAAGTAAAAATTCTGTTTTTTTTTTTAAAAATGGCTATACTACTCATGTTACAGAAGGTGGTTTTTCGTAATAGACAGGGTCCAGTAACATCTTCTAAGAAATACGTACAACAGTGGGCCAAGCAGTGTTTGGGGTACCTTTGACAGACTACAAAAGATGGGGGGCAGAATGAAATACAGGTGGTTGGGAGTAGAATGATGTCACCAGCAGGCGCCTCAGGTATTACTTAATCAATCAAGACTTTTGCCTTTTTTCATGATTAAGCTCTTAGAAGAATGCCCATACATGACCTTCGTTTCCAAACCTTCAATATTTTCTATGAAACAATTAGTAGTAAAATTTAAATAGACCACACCAAATGCAAAGTAGGATATTAAATCTTGTCAGCTGAAAAGAACCTCCTCTTCCAGGATGGAGTGCCGTTCCAAGTGCATGGTCGGATGGCTCATGCTCCCAGCCTACTTTTGCATCCATTGAATGGACTAATGGTGAAGACCTGCTCCTCTCAGCATCTTAATGGGTGCTCTAGCGATACAGAGTTGAGTCAGCCTTGGCTTCTTTATTAAAATACAGCCCAGTAAACTTAGTCGATTTCACCGTTGTGGGGAAGTCTATTGGACAACACAGGGTATGTCCCGA